TGCAGCACCTCTTTTCACAATAATCAAACCCTATTATGGGTTTTTGTGGTGTTACCTCTCCTGTAGTGTGTTCTACAGGTGTTTTTGCATGTAAATGGAACACTCACGCTCCTATTGGCTAGCGCTTCAACACATTGTTTGTGATAGGCTAAGAGGCGGGACATCTCTAAGTGGTTGACCAATCACAACAGAGCCGGCCATCCAACCAATCAGAGCAGACTGAGCTCTGGTTTCAGACAGAGGGTGAAAAGAGGTGCTGCAGGACAGGCACAATAGGTGCTTTCACACCAAGTACTTTTCCCAGGAATAGTTCCCCGGAAATCTTTAGTTCCGGAACTAACTAGTAGATCGCGTTCACACCGGAATAAGTTCCCTGAGGGAGGATTAGGCAAATGAAGCCGCTGACATCACTTCTTCTTCTTCTGCTTTGGGTTTACTGGCAGGCCGCAAACAACTTCACGGCGTATACTGCCACCTGAAGTCCCCGGCCGGAAGTCCCCGCAGTAGAAGCTGCTGGGACTCCCAGCAGCTTCTACTGAAGCCTTCCGAGTAAATCGCCAGAAGCGCCGACACCTCCTCATCACTCCACCGCTCCCATGTTTTCTTTTGTGTTGTCATAAGTTAGTCTCTCTCTGTTGGTGCGCTGGGCTAATGCTAATAATGCTAATGCGAGCAAATAAAATGGCGGCTTCACAAAACTTTTCATAGTTTTACGGGGCGTGGTTTGCAATTCGCCCAGCCAATCAGAAATGGATTGTCCCTGCTAGAGAGCAGGTACTTTCCTTGGGAGGAAAAGGTTCCAGAAAAAAAGTTCTAGTTCCAGATCTTTTTGGTGTGAACGCAAAATCCCAGGAACTATCGGAACTATTCCTGGGAAAAGTACTCCGGTGTGAAAGCGCCTAATGAGCAGAATACTTTGACATCCAGTATTCCCCGTTTATTTCCCCTTTTAAATCATTTAAATTCGCATTGAGCACATTTTTTAAACCAATGGGAATATTCTACATACCTTTTTTTTTAACACATCCTCCCAAACTCAGTCCAAGAGAATCGCCTTCTCTGGAAACTTTAGGATCTACACTGCAATTAAAAATAAAGTGTTGGAAGTTTGCACAAATGCAGCTGCACAGCTTGAGCTTGTGATGACTCACTTTGCTATTTAACTTATTTAGGCAAAACATGTAAATACTTGTCTCTAAGCTTGCACACATCAATACAGTATCTATGGCCTGAGATATATACAGTAAGTGTGTAAATAGATCATGAAGACGACCACAGCAGGGATTTATCTCCAGCCTTTTGGGCAGATTTCACAGATTTTTCGGCTGGAAGAAGTCAGCAGACGTGTTCATCTTCCAGACGAGCTTCATATTTAATTCAGCAGGCCGAGCCTCGAAGAGCCTTCTGTTATTTTTGTCTTATTATCTTCGGAGTACCATTTATTTTTGTATAGCTTTTAAAATGCAGTCAAGCTGACACTTGGGGATTACCCGGGGATATAAAATACAGAAAGAGAGTCTTAACTGTGACGAGCATCAAAACCTCTTTGATATGTTATACTGGTGAGAGAGGCTCTGATGACATGTAGATTATTGTGGAAGATATAATCATAAGCTTTATTTATATAGCAACTTTTATAACATTATAAAGAAAAACATTAACAATACATATGTTTTTTATTTAAAAGGACCCTATCCCGCTCTTTTTTCAGGTTCATATTTGTATTTTGTGCCTCTAACATGTTTCCTTGCCTTTATGTTCAACTTCCAACCTCCTGTCTCCCCCAGGATAAGAATATGTTGACATCTGCTGCTTGTGATCACTACGCCTACATTTCTAGCGAACATCTGACAAGTTTTCTTTAATAACTGAGTGTGAAGAATTGACAGAGCTGGGAAAAATGAGGGACTTTCCTCTGGGAGCTAAACTCTGTGCTCTAAGGCTATTTGCAAAGCGGTGATAATTAGATTAGTTTCCCCACAGAGCAGCACTGAGATCAGCTGGTCGTGTCACTGTAATGGTGACAGAATGAGTTCCTATTTCTGTGTCATTATCAGATATTGTGACTGAATTAGAATCAGAAGAGTTTATGGCGAGGTACTGTAGGATATCCACTCTGCAAAAGTCAAGAACATACATTTAAAATAAAAAATGTGCAATGCAAATTTAAAAAATATATAACAATAACAGAAATATAACAATAAATATTTATACTATAAAAAAGAGTGAGAAATACAATAAAAATATAAAAATGTTTACTAAAACATGTAATGAAAAGAACATACATTTAGAATAGTATAGCTACAATAAAAACATGACAAATATATAAAAAATACCATAACTTACACATACATTATCTATATATCATCAATACAATATACTGTATATTATATTATATAGTTGGAAGAAAAGATTTGTGTTTTGTTAAATGTTGATAATTCAGATTCCAGAAAAAATAATGTGGTTTTTGATCGTTTTTAACTAATTTAATAAAATAAAATACATGAATACAGACAATCTTTGTGTGCCTGTCCCTTTAAGAGTTGTTGCTAGGGCGTTGCTATGCTAAATTAGCCTGTTTACACCTTCTAACGGTATTTACATGTCAGCTAAAAACTCCGTTAGCTTACTTTTTCACAACCTAATCTATGTTTTCTAACAAGCTGTGTGTTCTTGGTCGTCGTCACCTTGGTAGGATGATTTAATTTACCGAAACAACGTGTGTTAATCTGTGTTAATGAGCCGGAAAAGAGCGTTAAAATGCTGCTAATTAATGTAAACAGCTAGCTATTAGCTTGTGTTTTATGTTGGCTACTAACACTGAGATTAAATAACATGTGTGTTCATGAATATATGTGTCTCTTAAAGTCTTAGGTTATGTCTGTAAATGTTTTGTTTTGTAAGTCTAAATCCTAAAATAATTCGCTTTAATATCATAAAATAGAGAAAAGCAGTTTATCTCCATATTTGAGTTTCTGAAAAATCGATTTTTAATATATTTTGTATTCTCATCTCAATCGAAAAGTTATTCAACTTATAAATAAATGCAGTGCCGTTAAAATAACAATATTTGCATTTGAAATATAATAACGTAGCAGAAAAATGGAAATCCTCAATTAATGTACAATTACTTAAAAATGTACACAGTACTTGAGAATATTGACTCAGTTACTTTGCACCACTGGTTATTTAAGCACAGATCATTCAGTGTCTTATTTCTTTCCATCTTATGCATTTTAGTACAATATTCACTTTCAATTATCTCTGTTTTGCATCTCTTGAGAAATCAGTTCATTTAGCTGCTCAATGCTCCACTTCATTCACTGCCAGATGCTCACTTTGTGTAGGAAGTATACAATGGGTTTTTCAGAGCTATAGTCTGTGGAGGTAACAAAGAGATATCTAAATGTACCTTCTGTCTCAGTGTCAGACATGTTTCTTTCTGTGAATCATTGAAATGTTCCCAGCGCTCCCCCTGAGAGACTGAAAAGGAGGTCACTCTCACCTGAACCTGGATGTGAGCTTAATAAAGCAGCACAGAACAAAGCTCCGTCCTTTATTTAAAACCTTTCCGTCCTTTTATCCCATCTGTCAAAAGCTTCTCTTTAATAACAGCCTCTCTCATCTGCTTTTATGTATTCATTAACTGTATTTACCTCCCACTCAGCAGTGTTAAAGCTACTTTCAGAAAAAACCCATTAAGCACTGAGGATTACATGGACTTTGTATTCTGATTTGACGACAGCCCGTCCCATTTTGCTTTGTTAGCACTGACACTGTGACTTGAATAAGAACATTTGGATTTACATTTCAATCATTAGGCTGATTCTAATGCAATGGAGTGGTTCAGGAATGAGTCCTGCATGGGTGTTGCTGTGGGATTGCAGTGCAGCACCACAGAAGAAGAGATAACTACTTACACACATTGCTTAAATGTAGAGGATGTGAAGCAAATCTCATGCTTAGTTGTGTGATTCCCTGCTCCTTTGTCAGTGTCCTTGAGAATTAAATTGAACCCCAAACGGCCAGAACACCACTTGGCATAGTATGTGTGTAAAGTGTTTTATTAGCAAAGACAGACGAATTCTCTGAAAGGTTCAATGACTTTTAATCAATAAGATAATCAACAGGAATTTAATCGGCAGCATTTTTTATAAGGGCTGTTGACGAACAGTTCAGCATCGACACATTGCTGCAGGAGCAATAGTCACATTTCAGGACATGTCATTTCAAGTTAAGAAGAATAACTTGTCTTGCTCAGTTCTTATTTTCTATGTCTCATCTGCAAGAAGAAGTCTTTCTGATATAAAATAATGGGCTGCTACAATATTTGTGTTTTTACGAGTACGATTTTTGACCAGAAGGACTGTTAATTCTTATAAAATTCCAACAGTGAACTTTTAAAAATGAATTGCTGTCTGTTTTTTATGAACAACGCATCACGACAGACGGCTAACAACAAATGAGGATGTTGTATGCAGCCATTTCACAGTATTATTTAATGATGCAGAAGAATAGTGTGTTGGCAGTGAAGGAGGGTGGTGTAACATATATTTGTGCTGCTGTGTTTGCACCTCTGTAGATTCAAGATTCAAGGCTTTTATTGTCATGTGTACATAGCTACGGTGTAGATATATCAATGGAAATCTTAGGTCACAGGCTCCTCCAACAGTGGATAAAATAGTGCAAGTAAATACAAATAAAATAGGATAGAAATAGTGCAAGGAGAGTCTATATACACGTTATTGGAATATGATATATTAGATAAATAATTTGTAAGTTGCAAACAGATGGATGTTCTTTCATAAGTTCAGGTGTTTAACAGTCTTATGGCCTGTGGGATGAAACTGTCCCTGAGTCTGGTGGTTTTAGACCTGTTATCGTCAGGGAGTGGTTTTGTATATCCTTGAAATGACTGACGTTAATTGTTTTTTTATCCTTTTATTTCTACTGACACGCCCAGGTGTGTCCGTGTTTATTGATGGTGGTGTGCTCTGCAGGTGACCCAGCCCCCGCGGACAGAGCAGAGTCAGCTGTTGGGGGGCTTCGATGAGAAGGCTTACCTGTCAGCAAAGCAGCTGAAGCCGGGGGAAGACCCGTACCGAGAGCACGCCTTCAACCTGCAGGAGAGCGACCGGCTGGGCAGCGAGCGGTCCATCAGAGACACCCGACACTACAGGTGTGTGTGTGTGTGTGTCAGCTTTCACCTGCACCATCTGTTGCCATTACGTTGAAGCAATAGAGTGTGTGTGTGTGTGTGTGTGTGTGTGTGTGTGTGTGTGTGTGTGTGTGTGTGTGTGTGTGTGTGTGTGTGTGTGTGTGTGTGTGTGTGTGTGTGTGTGTGTGTGTGTGTGTGTGTGTGTGTGTGTGTGTGTGTGTGTGTGTGTGTGTGTGTGTGTGTGTGTGTGTGTGTGTGTGTGTGTGTGTGTGTGTGTGTGTCCGTCTGCTTTCACCTGCACCAGCTGATAGAGGATTAATCTTGCTTGTGCTGCAAGTGGATTTAGATTCAATCTTACAGGTTGGAGTAAGTGAGGTGAGAGAAGTGTGTTGATCTTAAAGGTTGTGTGAGGGTGAAATAGATAGATTGTATTGCAAAGTTTAAGAGAGAGCTGACTGTCCTGCCTGCTGGGTATATACGTGGTATCCCTCACACACAGGGGGTGGACAAAATATTGTAAACACTTGCTTTGATGGGCGGCCCAGATAGCCCATCTCCTACAGCTGAGACCCAGCAGCACTAGGTGGAATCTTAAGCTATTTTGTGCATCTCCGGCGAAACATATTAAATAATTTCAGGTCCATTTATGAGGGATTTGGATAAAATCATATTCTTACAAACCAGCAATGGCTGTAAAAGAATGTGGTGTGTCCTGATTGTGTCCTTCTAATGATTTATTTAATTTTTTAGACAAAAATTGAACTAACTAGATTAGATTAGATTAACTTTATTGATTCCAAATTGGGAAATTGTACTAAAGTTGAGCCCATACTGCAGCGGACCGGCGTCAAGCTTGCAGTCTTTTGCCGGATGTTGTCCCTTCTCTTTGCCCTTTTCCAGTCTGCACTGAGCAAAATTAAATACAATAAAAACCCATCATGCAGATTTTAAATCATGAGTCCTCATTGTATGTTCTTTGCAGCCTTTACTTTAGTTATTCACTATATGAGGCAAGGCCTTAAAGCTCCGAGCCACAGGAAGCACATTAAAGCAGAAAGCGTTAGAAATCTGTGCAACTGTTACCCGGCAACCGGATATTTCCAGCAACAACACTGAGGCGACTCCACACTGCACTTCTGCTAATCACAGCTGTGTGTGTGTGTGTGTGTGTGTGTGTGTGTGTGTGTGTGTGTGTGTGTGTGTGTGTGTGTGTGTGTGTGTGTGTGTGTGTGTGTGTGTGTGTGTGTGTGTGTGTGTGTGTGTGTGTGTGTGTGTGTGTGTGTGTGTGTGCGTGTTCAAGGGCCGATGTGCCAGTTTAACACATACATGTTGTTCCTGGAGAGAAGCGAGGTAAAGCTTCCCTCACTGTGTGATGATTGTGTGATAAACCCTCCTCTTTGCAGGTGTGCGTCTCTGAAATATGACTCAGACCTTCCCTCCACGAGCATCATCATCACTTTCCACAATGAGGCTCGCTCCACTCTCCTGCGCACCATCAAGAGGTAATGAGGTCGAACATAAGCAGCACCATAAATCCGGAGGAATGAAACCGACTTATTTTTTCTGACCCACGTCCCTCTGTTTCCTCCCTCCCAGTGTCCTGATGCGAAGTCCTTATTCTCTGATTCAAGAAATCATCCTGATAGACGACTTCAGCGATGACCGTGAGTTTCTTTTTCATTGCTGGTTAATGCTGTGGTTAGAAATGTAGTTGCGGGGTTGAGAAAATGCTTAATTTTCCTAATTCTCGGGCTTGGAAAATGCTTAATTTTAACTAATGTGTATATTTTCAAGATTAGGAATGCTAATGTAAAAAAATACTCCTTTAACACTAGAACCGCCAGAGGTCGCTGTATACCTAAAACCGGCAACGGGTCAAATTGACCCGCTATTGATTTTCAAGGTACAATGTTATTTTATTTATCATGTAGAACAGTGAGTTTTGATCGCACAGGGATGAAACTTATACCAATAGAATCTGTGGACTCTCAACTTTTCATATGATATAGTTTGTGCAGATAGCATGAAGTATAAAATATCGCTACCAGTGCTGATTTAAACGCTTGGTGTTAGACTTGTGTTTTGTTTAGGTACAAATCTCTCTATCTATCTATCTCTCTCTCTGTCTATCTATAACTATCTATCGGTCTATCTCTCTATCTCTCTCTCTCTATCTCTCTCTCTCTCTCTATCTATCTATCTATCTATCTCTCTCTCAATCTATCTCTCTATCTATAAGGAACCACAGTAGACAAAAGGCGTTGCTATAGCAACACGTCATGTTTACGCTGCATTTTCTATGAGGTAAATATTACCCGCTGGCGATTTTTTTCAATCTGACTTCATATTGACAATTGTTAACAACAGAGGGTGCTACATAACACACTTTCAGGAAAAGTCACGGACTGGGAGACTTTAATATTTTATTGAAAAAAAGTTACATACGATCAAAAAACAGCTGCGGGTAAAATTGACCCGTGTTAAAAAATACTTAGGCAACCATTAGCCATTAACCCACCTTATCACCTGAATATCCTCCTAGAGCACCATTGTGTTATTTTTAAACCAATCATCTCTCAGAGGGGCGTGGCCAGCAGCAGCTCATTAGCATTTAAAGCTACAGACACAGAATCAGCACTTTTGGAACAGGGCTGAAACAGAGGGGATTATGGGATGCTGCAATGATCTGTTTTGGTGTTTCAGACAATCAGAGACAGGTTCTGTATATATCTGAAACCTGTAGTATAATGTTGAAGAAGATTATAATAGGGGATCTTTAAACTTCAGCTTTTCCCAAATCTTGTCTGCAGCCCTTTGTATAAAGCTCTTCATTCTGCTGTGAATACGTGTGATGCAAATGTCAAAGGAATTTTCCAGCACATGAGAAAGCCAAAAAAAAAAGGAGAAAATGTAGGGCGAGGATAATGTCAAGAGACAGGAGTGGCTTTGAAAGTGAGTCACACTGATGTCGGATATCACAGGAAATCAGATTGAATTTTGGAGTTGAGATTTTCCTGAGGATTTGGTCTTTTGTGATGATCAGTGATGCCGCTGAGGGATGGAAACACAACACAGCAATCTGCTGTTGATTTAGAAAACATTGTATCAATTGTATCAATTTTCTCCATATGCAGTTTTTTTATCTATAGTTTTAGTATCTACTATTATGTATTTTTATATTATTTAAAAATGTTCCATATTTATAGGTTTTTTACTTTTTTAATTTATGTACATTTTTATATTTTATCATCTTGATTTCAGTTTTAGGGTAATATTTATATTGATTAAAACATTTTAAATAGTTAATTTAATATGTAATTATTTTTTTTAAATCTTTTTTGTATTTTATATATCTATTAATGATTAAAGTGCACCTATCATGCTATTTTTAGGCAATAGCATAGGTCTCAGATATATAATAATATATAAAAAACATGTCTATGAAGTGTTTTGCTCAAAATACCAAACAGATCACCCATTCTAGCCATGCCTCATATCCCTCTATTTCACTTCCTGTTTCAAAAGTGATGATTTGGGTATAAGGCTTTAAAAAAAAAAAAGAATTGATAAACATAAAAAAGGAGGGGTCTGAGCTCATGCGGGACCCGGCAGCTACTGTCTAAACTAAATGCTGCCGTGATGAAACGCCATATCATGGATTATCAAGGATTGTTTCTGAAACAGTATGGAGCTCAAAGGCTTTCTCTCTTGCCGGTTATACCACAAGGTGAGTTCCTTTTTATTTCCTGCTTCTTCACACACATGCTCTCCAGTACAGGTTAGCTCTGAGTGTTAGCGATGCTAATGTAAACACCGACCATATTACGTCCAAAACAGTCGGGCATTGTTTCTGATAGCGACGTTTCTGATAGGGCCGTGGGTCCACATTTCCGATATTACGTCATATCGGACGCAAATCTAGATCAGCTCCGTTGTAGCCCCGTTTTTAGAGATTTGGGTACGGAGGAAAAGAGAGAGGGTTTTATTTTCTGACGCTGCGTGAGTTCCCTGACACACCGGGGACACATCTTTATGCAGAAAAGACATCAAAAAGTACATTTTGCATGATAGGTCCCCTTTAATATTATTATTATTATTGAATATATATATTTTGTTGTCTTCATTTTAATTCTCAGTACTCATTCCTCTCTTCTCTCCATGCATAGTTATTTAAAAATGTACATTTCCCTGTTCGGAAAATCTTAAAGCCTTAACTGCTGATCTGTGTATTCCCTGAAAAATTATCAACAAGAAAAATCTGGAGCTGCTGCCACTGCCATGAGGAACTGATTATTTTGTATGCAAAAAGCAGATAAGTGGTGTAATTGACCTTGACATTTTAGAGTTAATTGCACCATAAAGTGCAGCTTTTTTATGTAGCGCACCACGACTGAAGATAAACACATTTTCAGTAATCATTCCCCTTTGTCAGCATTAGGCAGAAGAATTACATGAGCTCATGTTTACACTGTCCACAGCTCTGTGTGTAATCACCAACACATGCATCTTGTGTGTGTGTGTGTGTGGGAACAGCACAGTGACCTACTTTCACTGTGTACTCAGGCCATGACGCACACACTCTCACACACACACTCTGAGGTGTCCAGACTTCTTAGCAGTGTGTGTCAGTGGCAGCAGCAGTGGAGCTCTATTATCTCACTAATGCTTGTTTACTCTCCCTGTGCTGCGGACGCTTTGCTGCACTGACGCTGCACTGGCACCATGATGACTTTAGAGCCAACATGGCCGCCTGTTTCTTGTCCTGCAGCAAGACTTTAACCTCCTCCCTGTAATGGCTTTTACATTTCAGCATTACTTTAGGGTTGAGCGATAGGAAGAAAATCAAATAGCACACTATTTCTGACTGACCTCTTTCAGCATCGTGACGATATTGTAGGTTTGATACCTAATGAAAATGTTGATAAAACTCATCAGTGATGTGGGTTTAATGACTCAGTTGGACAAGGTAAATCATAGAACAACTAGATCTAAATTAACTGTCATGTGTCCTTTAAAACCAGGTAAAGATATTAAGATACGACTGAGACTATATCTATTATTTTTGTTAAATTAAATGTTGAATTTCTTCAACATTTAATATCTCCCTTAATTTGTCTTCAATTTAAGAGGCATTTAGTGGTTGTTAGCAGTGTACTGAAAGCAGCCAAAAGGCAGAACTGAATACACTTTAATATCTGTTAAATTATCCAGGTCATATTTTTGATAGTAAACAACGTTATCACATGTCATGTATTTTCTTTATATCGTGCAACAGAGGCAGATAATGAGTAATCAAATAAACATAATCCATAGAAACAGTTTAAATGGTAATAATAATAATAACTGCAAACTCATGTAAATTCATTAGATATTATGTGGTTTACCTTGTGATAAAAATACAACAATTACATTTAAAAAAGATATATATTTGTGATATTTAGCCTTTAAGTTATCCTTTCTTATGGCTTTGATTACATCCTTGTTATCCAGTGAGAAGTGTGCATTATCTTCAGGGCCGTCCCTGGCCAACAAGCAACATTGTGAGATGAGCACGAACTGCGCACAAGCCAAGCTCATAAGCCGAGGCCCCTGCGCAATGTGAGGCCCCATGCAGCCTGTAGGGAGGGGCGGCCCTGATTATCTTAACTATCTTTCCATAAATGTGCCATTCAGTTTTTACCACAAAACCAACTGAGGTCTGTAAATGCTTGCTGCAGTTTGTGGTTTCTAGTTTTGACTGTGAAGAGGATAACCCTCTCATTATCGGTTTGGTTTCCTCCTGCTGCTCCTCTGCGGTCTCCTCCTCTCCACTTTCTAACGCTGCGTTTTATTTAAAGTCTCAGTAATCTCCTATTAGTGAAAGGAGAATAAAATTGCTGTTTAAGATGTGGTTTGAAGGCAGGAGGTCGAGCAGCGTGTTCTCTAAAACCTCAAATCACTGCAGGCTGTTACTCAACATGTTGTTTTCTTTTCTGTCAGACTGCACACACACTGAGGGGAGAGACAGCCTGCTTTATATGCCAAATAATGTGGGCTGTTTTGCCTTTATGAGGTGTTTCTCTTTTGGTTTGCTTGTACACAGCCCATTAATTAGTCCACAATTTGCAAATCAAAACTGAAAGCAGACATTCTTTATAGTTATTTTTATGATTATTTAATGCATTATGTATATATAAAGAAAGATAAACAACCTCTATTGTAACCTTGGTTAATACAACCACACTGAAATACTTTGAGGTAAAAAACCTAGTATGCTAAAGAAGGTTTTTATGTATATAATGAAAATGGACCCCCTCACTGAAAACCTTAAAAAAATGTACAAAATAATTATTGTATTCATATAAAAATCTGATTTTTATGATGACATGTTTCTACTGTAAACCACTGACTGCATTTAAATGAATCAAATATTACATTTCTGCCTTAATTCCCCAAATATTCTAATAATTCTTGGCAAGTGACAATTCAGATTTGAATAATATTCCCTTAGAGCAGGGGTGTCAAACTCAAATACACAGTGGGCCAAAATAAAAAAATGGGTACAAGTCGAGGGCCGGACTGGTTCAATGTTTATTGCAAAACTTATTGAAATGAACTTATTGCACATATTAAACCTAGAACTAACAAAGCTTAAATTATTGCCTATAAAAACAACATTAAACATTAAATAATCAGTTGTATTAATTTCTTATGGCTCTATCTGCAGCTTTTCCAGAGTCATTTCTCATGATTACATTTTTCCACAGGCCAACAGCAGCTTCAAAAAAACTATTTCCCTCAAAGAGAAAACCAAACATGCCCTGTTGACGTGAGAGAAAAAGTGCAGAAGGAAACATCCATGTAAACTCAGTGTGCTGCTCTGTGATGCTCGTTCAAGCCAGATACTTGGCATCTCATCTTGGGTGCAAGTTCATCAATGTTTGGGCTCAGGCTCTGAGCTGAGGAAACCCTCAGGATTGAGTGAAGGTGTGCGTGCAATATACCGGCGGGCCAGATCTAATAGTAATTAGAAATTATCCTCCTGAAATTAAATCCACCAAGGGCCTGATTTGGCCCCCGGGCCTTGATTTTGACACATGTGCCTTAGATGCAGCCGTGCAAACTAGATTTACTTAAAGGGGACCTATCATGCAAAATGCACTTTTTGATGTCTTTTATACATAACTATGTGTCCCCGGTGCGTCGGGGAACTCACGCAGCGTCAGAAAATAAAACCTCTTTTCCTCCGTACCCAAATCTTTTAAAAACGGGGGTACAACGAGCGGATACAGATTTGCTGCCGATATGACGTCAAATCGGCGGTGGACCCACAGAGAGTTGGTATCAGAAACAATGCCTGACGTGTTTTGGACGTAATCTCGTCTTTCTTTACATTAGCAAGCCTCGCTAACACTCAGAGCTAACCTGTACTGGAGAGAGCATGTGTTTAAAAAGCAGGAAATAAAAAAAGGAACTCACCTTGTGATAAACCTGCAATAGAAAAAGCATTTGAGCTCCATACTGTTTCAGAAATAATCCTTGATGTGATTTATAACAGGATGGCGTTTTATCAACGCAGAATTTAACTTTATCTCCGGTAGAATTCTGATCAGGCATTAGCTCCGCCTCCTCCTTTCTTTTTTTTTAAGCTAAGGACCCAAAATCCGCGTTTCTCTAACAGGGCTGCAAAGAGGGGTATGAGCAGTATGAAGCATGGCTACAACGGGGGATCTGTTTGCTATTTTAAGCAAAACACTTCACAGACATGTTTTGTATAGGTATGGCCCTACAATATATTTTTCCAATATAGCATAATAGGTCCACTTTAAATTCTCTTAAATAAGTTTATATCCATGTTTTAATAATATTTAAAATCTTATTATACAATGTTAGAAATGTGAACTGCTGCAAAACCCTTTGAGACACATATACTTAATATGTTGTATACATATCCAAAGAGTTCTCTTAAAACCTACATAAAAATAGCATATCACACATTTTATCGGGTAATTCAAACATTCGTTATAACACCTAATTTGCAATATTCAAATATATAAGGTGCTGTTTAAAATACCCTTTTCATACCCACATCAAATTCTATGTATTGTCATATTAGCCACAATAGTGAGATATACTGTAAGTGTGTTTGCAAACTCAGTCAGTGATCTTACAGTGAAAGCTTGAATGTGGAGAGGTCAGAAATGTGTCACAGTTTCAGTTTCTATATTTGAGCTTTTGACAGCATACGTCTTCTTATGTATGATCAACATTTAGTCAGTCAGTGAGAGTGTGAGCTCAGTTTGTCCCGTCATGCAGGCTGAAGGAGGAGGAGGAGAATGTCGAGGGATGATCCGGCCTGAGTGTAATCCTGTTAAGGATCGCTTTAATCACACCGTCCTCACTTTAGGTGATCTTTGCTGTGAGGTCAGACCGCAGCATGTGACTCTCATAGCAGCAGGACGAGGAGACCTCATGCTGGAGCTATGGAGCAATGTTTTGGCAGTTAGGGTACGAGAAATTAATGACTTTTATGCTGTTGTCCTGGCAGGAGAGAGGCACAAATGACACCAGTCTATCTGCAACTCCAGATCAATAATGCAAATGTGAAATTGAACAAATTCATGCGTACATTTTTCGGAAAATAGGGATATTTATTCCGATTTTTGGGACAGGAGCTACACGGACAATAAACCTACATATGTAATTTTTTTTCACCATAGAGTCAGACTTTTTAAATGATTCTTCATTAAGTAATTTTTTTTGTGCATGAACATATTATATATTCAAAACATGGACATAAGTAGCACACATAATGCATGTGACTTTATAATGTACACACACACACACACACACACACACACACACACACACACACACACACGCACACGCACACGCACACACACACACACACACAATCTGGCTACAAGTATAAAACATCTGCTTTAAACCCCCCTCCTCCTAACTAAACAGACTCATACACACACACACACACACACACACACCCACCAGCTGTCCTTATGAGCTTCTCTAAAGCGCTAACACACCCTTGCTCTCACACACACGTCCCCTATGATATGGTTTGTACGCACATCAAATGTAATCAAGGTGCATTACAACATGTCTACCTACAATCCCTCAGCAAGGTCACACTCACTCTCTACGCTACTGCTAATCCTCTCAAGGAAGTGTGTGTGTACCTGTGTTTGTAATGATGTCCATACTGTATGCATCAACAAAAAGAGATTGTTTGTGTACAAAAAGGGAGTGGAGGATGGGAAAAAGCTGGATTGATTTCCCAATGAAATGAAGCCCTTTTTGTTTGAGTCACTAAGAACTGCTTTTGTGTGTTTCTGGTTATTTGTTGGACTGTTTGTGATTTGTTTATGTTATACTGAGGGTTTGTATCTGTGCAGCTATCTGTTTGAGTGACAGTGTTAGTGTGTGTGTTTTAAGTGACGGAGGTTGTGTTTCTCAGTGTGTGTTCTGCTTCTCCATAACATCCCATCTCCTCTCCTCTCTTTTCCTCCTGCAGCTGAGGACTGCCAGCTGCCCTCTCAGATCCCCAAAGTGCGCTGCCTGAGGAACGAACGGAGAGAGGGTGAGTGTGGAGGGACGGGGGAGACAAAGGGGGAGGAAAACTGGCGTGATGCAAGATCTTAAATGTGCCAAATATGTTATTTATTTTTCAAGCAAACCAACACAAAGGTATAAATGCCATATGATCACAACTCAAATACCCTTATTCCACTCAGCCCCAAAAAACGGTTTGTAGTTTGAACCAAAAAACTGCTAGGCAAGAACCAGATACTTCTGAGATGAACCTGAGCAATAACAGATCATGGCGAGTATGGCGAAGAAAATAAAGCGGATCGCAAAGTGACTAGGACGCGACCAACACACAAAAACACACATATACAATGTCGGAAACACTAACCAAGCATACGTTGATACTATTTTGTTTGACTATACTTTTAATGTCCACCCGTTGGCTTAGCACAATTAAAACCCACATGAGCATCGACCCGACGCAGTCCTCCATTGTTTCTGTTGTGAGCAGCGTTGCAGAGAAAATCGGTGATGTCATTACGTGGCACCATTTGGACTCACTAGATCTCACTAAGAAACTAAATGTAAACGTATATAGCCATGACAAGATCTATGAGCCTATTCTTAAAAAAATTACATTGAAATAGATAAAAGCCTCAAATTATCACATTTTTAGAAGATTGACAGAGAGAATATATATAATTTTTCTTGATACATTTCTTTAAATTACTTGAGGTTCAAGGTTCTTTATTTAGTCATACGAACATAGCTACAGTGTAGTTATGCCGATGAAAATCTTGTGTCACAGGCTTCTCCAGCAGAGCAACACAAAACACAGATAAACAGAAAAAATATATATAGTGCAAGTAAATAGTAAATAGTAATACAAAAAGAAAAATTGTTTTAAAAAAGTGAAATAGTGAATTAGTGATATTACTTATTGAATAATTCTGTAAGTATTGTCGTTTATAGAACATTGAATTCCTATAGCCAGGTGCATTAAAAAGTTGTATCCCATTTTTAAAACCCACAAACTGTAGAAAGCGTGTGAGCATTGTTATTTTTTTCCTCTCCCACAGTTTCTGAATTGGATTAAATTAATCCCTGAATGAGATTAAATCCTCGACCTCCACAACAAAGTTCAGCCAAGCTGAAAGCCAAAAGAAGCAGCGCTGCTAATTTGTTTTGATGTCTTAACATTAATCCGTCTTACTCAGGTTGATGCTCTTCGCTGATTTGTTTTGGTCTGCCCACCACATGCTGACACAACACAAGAATACTGTGTTAATGCTAAAAATAGCATGATAGGTGACCTTTAATGTATTCAATATAAACTATGACTCACACATTGTTATTTTAATCCATAATGGAATCAACTGATTATAACGAAAGCTTAATCCTTTTAATAAAGGTTTGAAAAAGGCTCCATGTGTTAGCAGCATGGTGTTCATTGTACTGCGGGTTATTTATCCTTTCACTGTTTGTATAAACTGCTGTTTGGAGTCAAGCTTCTTCATACAAGTGTTTGTGAAATCCTGTTTATTCTCCTCCTCCTTAAACTTGTTGTTTAAAGCTGTTTGAGCCTCGCTACAAAGTGCACCTCTGAGGAATTGGATTAAAAAAAAGAAAATAATCGCTCTATCCCGATGAATCATATTTCTATACAACGTGAATTAATCCCTGTTGATGCTGCAAGCTGTTTGAGTAATTAACACGAGAAACATGACCTCCTCTTCGAGGTTTCATACGGATACACTCAGGTACAAATTACTATCTCAAAGTCAAACTTCAAGGCTGCTTTTTGTGCTATTTAAACATTTATCCTGTAAAGTTTCCGTTGTTTTAATGAACTCTGAACAAACAGATGCCTCTCTTTAATTTACTGTAGATGCTGCAGGAAAAACAATTACCCTCCTCTACCTTTTTCTGTGCTAAATGCTGATTACTTTTGATTGAAAAAAAAACCTTTTTAGCTTTTCCTCCCCCTGCTGTTGCTATTCTGTTCTCTCTATTTAAATAGCTTTAATTAAAGGTAGGGTAGGTAATTTTGGAGAAACCAGCTCGAGTGCGCTAGAATTTGAAAATACACAACCGGAAAAAATCTGCCACTTCCTTACAGAGCCCCTCCTCCAACACACACGAACGCGCACATGACCAATGAGGGCACGAGATAAGTTTGTGCACAGATGGAAGGCTGACAGGCAGGTAGGCCATCCAGTTATTTCAGCCGGGCCGGCTAAAATGATTGGTCGTGCTTTTTACAGTATTACGGCTTCCACAGATGACATTTTTTAATGGATTTATTGTCAAAGCACTTAAGATATTCATTGCTATCGGGATGTTAAGAGCATTCCATGGAATATAACAAAAAGTGTATCTCGAGCCGGTTTCTCAAACGTACCTACCCTACAGTACCTTTAACAGCTTCAAATCAGAACTTTTTTCACGGTTAGGAGAAAAGTGAGACTAAGGCCCCAGCCACACGAGGACGATAACGGTCGTATCCGCTACAGTTCTCTATCAGATAGACGGTTCGGCCACACGAGGCCGACATGGAAACGCATAAAACGATAACGATAACGGGTCCAAAGGTGGGTAGATCTGCAAACGAAACGCTCTGGGGGGCAAACGGCTCCGTGTTTACGCCTATACGATAATTTCCTGATAACGATGAAATAGCCCCGCCTCTCCCACCCCCCCTTGCTCAGAGATCAGCTGCTGGGCTGTCAGAAGAGGGGGAGGAAAAGAGAGGCTCCGTTTATTATTCTTATATTATTATATAGGGTCGTTATCAATTTGTTTTAAAGCTCAATAAATAACAAAGAAGACCTCTGACCGGCACTTTTCAAATTTTGTCCGGAAGATTTAAACTTTAACGGACATGTTGACCGGCGAAAAAAAATCTAACTGAAACTCTGCTGCACGGTCCCCTCGTTCCTTGGAAGAGGTGGAGAGGTGGGTGTTTGTCATCTGCTGGTGGACTACCGGAGAGAACTACAGCAGGAGCAAACGCTTGCCTCGGGGAGGGAGAAAAAGAGCCAGAGCGTCCACAGCGGAGAATAAACAGAAGGGCAACCATGCGCGGGAAGTCTTCTTCGCTGCTTTTGTGGCAGGAGTACTGCGCCACTTACAAGCCTGGCATATGTACTACAGCGTCTCCAGCGCTTTCGAGCGGTCTCGTGTGAACGGACACGTTTCTGGTGCCTGTTGCGTGTGGACGGAAGACTTTTTTGATATCGATTTCGGTCCGTTTGCGTTATCGTCCTCGTGTGGCTCCAGCCTAATTCTGTTAACAAATTCACACGTATCCAATTAACCAGCTCTGATTTTTTTTTAAAACAATCAAATAAATAAAAAAAAACTAATCAGAAGTTTTCTGAAACTTGACAAAGCTCCTACAGATCCATGAAAGATGGAGGAGAAGTAGTTATTGTGAAAAGTAAATTGAATATGACTTGTTCAATCAGTGGAGTGCAGCTTCAATAACCAGACACAAATAATACTTTAGTTTCACGCCTGGAGTCTCATAAATGTGTTCATCCCTACCTCCAGTGAAGCAAAAACAACTGTTATCAAATTGTAGATATTCCCCAAACATCACCCAGTAGAAGAATAGTGAATTAGAGAATTCATGCGCTTTGAAGCTCTCACCTTTTACTCAAAGGGGCCCTATTCTGTTCATTTTCAGGTTCATATTTGTATTTTGTGCCTCTTTGTAGGCCGACCTGGAAGTTAGCATCTCCCCGGTTCCTTCCACAAAAGGCCAATGTGATGTTTCCATTTTATTTTAGAATATTGCAAAAAATAATCTGTGTCAAACAAACATGTTTTCTCCACATCTCCAAATATTAATACCACTTTATCATTTTTGAAGTAAAAAGCTAACGTTAGGCTATAAAGGAACTACAGCACGGTCACATGACTTCACGTCACCACCGCTAAGCTAAAGGTGGCTAATGTTGGGCTATAAAGGAACTACAGCCCGGTCACATGACTTCACGTCACCACCGCTAAGCTAAAGGTGGCTAATGTTGGGCTATAAAGAAACTACAGCACGGTCACATGACTTCACATCACCACCGCTAAGCTAAAGGCGGCTAATGTTGGGCTATAAAGGAACTACAGCACGGTCACATGACTTCACGTCACCACCGCGAAGCTAAAGGCGGCTAACGTTGGGAATGATGACGTTTAGTCGTCTCATTTAGACATTTATACCACAGTTTTTAAATTCACCAGTGGGGTATTTACTGGCGTATTTTTTTGTCGTAGAATATAAATCTCTTCAGCTTGTGTTAACCACAGATCTTAATTCAGGCTTACAACCAAAAACATATTCAGAAAACAGTTTGCTTGGAGTCAAGAGAAGCAGAATTGTTGAAAGCTGACTAAGTTCCAGGTTTTAGGACTCATTCCTTAACCACTCTATAGATGTTTTTATACTTTTGAATGCATTGTGTTTGTACATTCCTGTCTAGTACTGTCTTCTGTTTCACCGGTCAAATCTGTCATCTTCTGTAAAGCCGTCTATGTTTAAAAGAGAATTTCTTTTGAGATATTTGACAGTTTTTTAGACTTTTCTGTAATTTCCTCCGTGTGTTTCCCTCCTCAGGTCTGATCCGATCCCGTGTGAAAGGAGCCAACTCGGCCACAGCCTTAATCTTGACCTTCCTGGACAGCCACTGCGAGGTCAACACTGATTGGCTGCAGCCGATGATCCAGAGAGTGAAGGAGGTACAGACTCACAGGCTGCCATCGTTCACACTCTGCAATTAGACACCTAATACAACACACACACATACACACACACACACACAAACACACACACACACACACACACACACACACTCATATGTTGGAGGTGGAACAGTTGCTTTTCAGCGCCTGTGATGTAAGACGCCGGGGGATTTTACATGCTTGACTTTTATTGGCTGTGATGTAATACATTGGCAGAGCATGTTGCTAAATAAACACTCAATTTGTTCAGCTGAGATTGAAGTCATACTAAACCCACTCCCCTTTGCCCCTGCTGGAAATCCCTTCTCCCCCCCCGTTCTGTGGTCTCTCTGCACAGATCCGTGTGTCGCATGGCGGCAGCGTCTTCTTCCCGCCGCAGGCTGCATGCTGGATTCACTTCTAATCAAAAACAGTCTTTTTAAATGCAGCATGGGAAGATTGTCCCGCTTTCACCTCACCCTCCTAATTAAATTATGCAGCCCCCCAGGGACACTTTATGTTCGCATATGAATGTTTCATAATACAAAAAAGTGTTACCATGATGAAATGTGAAACCAGACACGTTTAATTATCAGGGGGTGGGGTTTTCTGTAGCTTTTTTAATTTCACTGGGATTTTCAAGGGCGTCTTGGCCCACAGTCTCTGCCTGTATCTTGTACACAAAGTATATGCAAGAGAAACTCCCTCTGGAGGGAACACAGGGATTTTAGCCTTTGCAGACCATTTACATGCACTAAAACCTATAGAACACACTACAGGAGAGGGAAACCCCAAACATAACAGCGCCTCTTTAATGGGAGATATACTGGTTAGATATATGAGAAGATCATTACCATTCTTATGTCTGTTTCTTTAATATGAACTACAGTCAGGAGATGGTCAGCTTAGCATAAAGACTGGAGACGGGGAGCCTGTCTTTGTTTACTGAATGACAAAAGCCTGCTTTTAAACTAAAAAACAATGCAACAACTATCCAGAAGCCTCTGCTGTACAAGCCCCTCAATGTTTTATTTATCAGTCTGAACACAGTGTGTGCACATCTTGTTTGTGAGTGTGTGCACATCTTGTTTGTGAGTGTGTGCTCTCCTCCTGGCCCCGGGCCGTCTGACTCATGCAGCTTTCATTACAATCCTCCAGTCCGGCTTCACAGATAATTCCCCGCTGCTCGGCCTCTGAGAGCAGGAATACTGATGAAGCTCCGTCGCTGTCCCTCGTTCCTAATGCTGCATAATGACACCTTCATCTGGCAATTCAGAGCAAATGAAACCACTTGAATTGAATGTGTAATTAAGCACCTTTAATGAGCTTTCAGGTCGCGGATATTGGGGGTTTAGAGATTTAAGTTCAGGGACGCTACAGCCTATCACTCACATTTAATACCTTATTAGAAGTCATTACCTTCTTTTAAACCGTGGAGAATTATTGTAATGTTCGTAATAAATTAAGCTACAGCAGTTAAACACTTAGCTAATAATAATTTATCAGAAATAGTTGCATGATGACCCTCTCCCTTCTTTCTCTTGCATTTCTATTTAATTATTCACAATTCATTAGTTTAATTAACAGAGAGAGCGCGCATTTATGAACGCTCCTTTCCGGAACATACTGACATACCGTGGGTGTTTCTCAATCTCGAGTACGCTTGCTTGGTAGCACATGTCTTCCGAGCCACTTGCTTCAGAAGCGAGGCAAGAATCCTTCCTGGCATTCGGAAAACGAAGAGTGGAACAGGCTAGCAAGTGTGCAGGTGTGCGTCATATGAGAGGCCCCGCCTTACATTTTCCGCCACAGATTTGGGGAAATTGGTCCGTGCGCAAAGCATTGTGGGGATTTTAAGACCGCGGAGTCTACACACGTGCAGCCTCGAAATTTCGCGCTACTAGGTACGCCGGGCTCGGTAGAATTCCAAGTATGCTGGACATTGGAACAGTCCTTTGGCGGCACTCGATGACGTAGTATGCTTGAAATAGTGGCTCTGGAGCAGCTTCACTCGACATTGAGAAACACCCCGTAACTATGCGCTCGATCACATTGTACGGGATAGGCTAATGGGCGGGACATCTTACAGCGGTTGACCAATCACAACAGAGCCGGCCAGTATGGAGACATGTCACAGTAGAGACCCTAAATACTAATATGAACATGAGAATGAGCAGAATAGGCCCCTTTTTAAAGTTTCAAAAGTACTAATTATGGTTGAAAGAAGCCCCAGTTACTGTGTCCTTACAATATTAAATCATATATAAAACAAATATTGCTGATCCATTCAAGTAAAAGCAGTATTCAAATGTTGTCGGTCATCTAAATGTCAGGGAGTTACCAGCATTTTTTAAGTATGTTAATAATTGACCTTTTTTTAAGTCATTATAAAACATGATAAAAGTGTGTAATGTTATTAGTTATGAAGTATGTTGACTATTCATGATTAGTGATGATTATTGTATTGCAAAGACACTGACCAGCTCTAAGTAATATGATAATTGACTTTATGAGGCATTATAATGTGGATTATTGTTTGAAAGCATTATGCATATTTAAAAGTGATTATGACTATAATTTACAGTGCTTTATGCTGCATTTAATTATATTCAAATGCGTTATAGGCGTGGGCGACATTAAAAAGTATTTTCACGCAGTTTCACAAAAATGTACTATCCCAAATTAGAATAACGATCTTGAACGCCTCATCAGCTAAATGAAAAGCAACCGGATGTGAGAGACGGCACTCCTGACACGGAGAACAGCAAGAGGAACAGAGGAGTGGAGTATTGAGAGATCATCAATGACATTCACTCTGGAAGTGCAGCCTCTTCATGCATCATCACAGAGGGTCATTAAACGCCTCATAAATGTCTACCGCTTAAAGCTGTGCAGAGCGTCACTCCTAACCGCTCTCCAACACTGTGGTGCAGTGAACACCAGAAATCTAATTGGAAACAGTCAGTGGGATAGTCCTGATGCAAAGCTTTCTCACACACACACACACACACACACACACACACACACACACACACACACACACACACACACACACACACACACACACACACACACACACACACACACACACACACAGATGCCTGATGGGCAAACAGCAGTGTTGGCACTGACTCACAATCACAGACAGATGCAGAAACACACACACACACACACACACACACACACACACACACACACACACACACACACACACACACACACACACACACACACACACACACACACACACACACAGATGCCTGATGGGCAAACAGCAGTGTTGGCACTGACTCACAATCACAGACAGATGCAGAAACACACACACACACACACACACACACACACACACACAAACACACACACACACCCACACACACACACACACATAAACAAACACACACACACACACTCTGCACTGTGTTTACTGTAGGGGTAGTGTTGCATCTCCAGCAGGAGGTGATTTAACGGTTTATTCATCGGGAACTCATGTTGCCGGAAAACTGTGGGAAGAAGCAAGAAAAATAAATACAAGAAACATATTTGAATATTATCTGAAATGTAATCTTTGAGGAAAAAAAGCACACAAAAACTCTCGGAAGTTTACGTAAAATGGTGTTTATTCGTCATAAACCATATGGCTGGTTCATGTTAAGATATTTTTTTGTGATGAGTTGGAAGGAGCCATTGTCAGATACAAGATTTAAAAGGTTAATTAAAGCGAAAAATCTCTTATGTTAACTAAAAAATGAATAACAATAATATTATTGATTGGATTATCGCATTAATTTGCCAGGTGTTTAGTGTCTATGGCATCCGATTTTACATTTAAATAGAGCATAACACATGTATATTTACACTGACTTAAACCTGTTTTTGTCCATGATCGCAGAGTATAACGCTTTAAATATAAAATGTTGGATTTATGTATCATTAATAATAATAATGTGTGTGTGTCTGCAGGATCGTACGCGAGTGGTCAGCCCCATCATAGACGTCATCAGCCTGGATAACTTCGCCTATCTGGCTGCCTCTGCTGACCTGAGAGGAGGTCAGAACACACACACACACACACACACACACACACACACACACACACACACACACACACACACACACACACACACACACACACACACACACACACACACACACACACACACACACACAGCTGCATTCAGGGACAGCCCCCTCCTCCCCACACCCTGCCAGAATAATTCGAAGCTCATGAGAGAAATTCCTGAACGGATTAAAGTCAGTCTGGAAGTTTGTGAAGATGTGAAAGTGTTCCTCTTTAGATCGCATGTCTAGACAAAGTGTTTTTGAATTAAACACTTAGATCTGATGTTTTGTGTGTGTGTTTGGATCTCTTTATCTTCAGGGTTCGACTGGAGTCTTCACTTCAAATGGGAGCAGATTCCCATCGAGCAGAAGATGGCGAGGAGCGACCCCACACAGGCGATCAGGTCCACTTCACATTCATAACCCTCTTTATATGTGGTGTTCAGATCCACAGTACCTCGACATATCATCATAAACCTGGTGTTGTGTACAATGATGTATTCGGATAATTGTAGGAGCCAATAAGCACTGCTCAAATATCTGAGAGATATTTGGTTAAAAAGAACACATTAGCCGCGTTCACACCAAGTACTTTGCCGTTTTTAGTGCCGTCACTCAGTGCCCCGGCACTTATTACCCCAGTGCATTTAGTACAGATCGCGTTCACACCGGACTACTTTTCCCTGAGGGAAGATTACGCAAATGAGCCGCTGACGTCACTTCTTCTTCTTCTGCTTTGGGTTTACTGGCAGGCCGCAAACAACTTCACGGCGTATACTGCCACCCGGGGTCCCCGGCCGGAAGTCCCCGGAGTTGGGGACTGGCTTCAGTAGAAGCTGCTGGGACTCCCAGCAGCTTCTACTGAAGCCTTCAGAGTAAATCGCCAGAACGCCGACACCTCCTCATCTCCACCGCTCCCATGTTTTCTTTTGTGTTGCCATAAATTAGTCTCTCTCCGTTTCTGCGCCGGGCGAATGCTAATGCTAATAATGCTAATGCCAGGATAATAAAATGGCGGCTCTACAAAACATTTCAGAGTTGTACGGGGCGTGGTTTGCAATTCGCCCAGCCAATCAGAACTGGGGCACTTTTTTCCCCCAGGAAAGTACGATCTCACAGCAGGCACTAAAAATGGGGGTAAAAGTTCCCGAGATGAAGTGCTCTTTTTGGTGTGAACGCGACATAAGGGGTACTAACGCAACTAAACGCGAAAAGTACGGTGAAAAGTACTCCGGTGTGAACGCGGCTAATGGTGCTCTAGGAGGAGATTCAGGTGATAAGGGGGGGGGGGGGTTACCTTGGTTGCTGATTGGCTAATGGTTACAGAAGCCAAAACATCGTTATGACATCATAAAGTGGCCAAAATCTGATCAGCTCATTTTCAGACAGGTTTTTATAGAAATGGATCAGGAGAAAAAGAGAGAGAATCTTTGTTCCTGAAACTTTCAGAGTCTCTTTACACAGAGGGGACACATGGTGATGTAGCATAATAGGTGACCTTGAACACGCGCACACCTGGAAAACCTATGACAGGAAAAGCAGCTTCAGAAGACCCCATAGGGTTCAGAATGGAGCAGCATCGACGACAACAGAAACGCCATTTGATAAGTTAGTTACAGCTTGAAAAAATGCGGGAGCTGGGGTGGAGGTGGATCATTTAGTGGCTACCAGAGGAAGCACAAAATGGTAGGCAGGGTGAAGCAGATAATAAGCTGATTTGTTTAAGGTCTACCAATCAGATGCAGGGAAGGAATCGCAGCGCCTGAATTACAGCTATGTAGCATCAATTGAAGTCTGGCAATCCTATCTGCATCCCCATGCCATCTTGAGGCTCGTAAAAACCGTTCCAAACTCCTCTTTGTGCACTAAAACCTCCTTTAATACGACAGTGAGTTGCAGTAAGTGTGTGGGAGGTATTGACTCCTCTCCTCTGGATGTCATAATAATAATAATAATAATAATAAAGCTTTATTTATATAGCACTTTTCATACCACACATGCAGCTCAAAGTGCTTTACAAAATGACACATCACAAGTTAAAAATAAACAACAAGAAGTTCCCCTCAGATTGTTTGTTAAGAACTTTAAAGGTACATGCAGCAAAATATAACATGTTATCAGGTTAAGAGACACAAGGAGATCAAATGTATGATGATACAAATACAAATAAATAAATAATGCTTTCTCTCTGACAGATAAGACACGAGACGACTGAGTCGATGCAACAATATAAAATATAAAACCCCATAAAAGACTGTTAAAAAATTGAACTGTTGAAACAACTTCAAAACATTCATCTGCTACTCAGTATTATGTATCTAATACCTAATATATATATATCATTCCAATAACTTGTATATAGACTTGTACTGCACTATTCCACATCATCACTTTATTTTATAACTATTATTCTTTTTGTATTGCTCTTGCTCTTATTGTTATTATGTTATTATGTTGCATTGTTGGAGAAGCCTGTGACATAAGATTTTCAACTACATAATTACTCTGTAGCTATGTCAGATTGACAATAAAGAACCTTGAACCTTGAACCTTGAACAAAGTGAATATATAGGTACAACAGAAGTACAAATACAAAGATTAAGACCTATAAAATAAATAAAACAATATAAAGGGAATGACTCCTCTCTTCTCTTCAGGACTCCAGTGATCGCCGGCGGGATCTTCGTCATGGACCGCAGCTGGTTCAACCACCTGGGACAGTACGACACTCACATGGACATCTGGGGGGGGGAGAACTTTGGTGAGATCCATTATTATTATAACAACGTTGTTTTTAGGACTTTTTGGAAGTTGTAATATTCAAAATGAGCTCCACCTCAAACAGCTACAACAGTGCAATCCTACTGTAACATTAATACATGATATATAATAATAGTATAGTATAACAGTTAAGCTTTTTCATGCAATGAGAACTTTGAGTATATTTTGTATCATTCTTACATACTTTTACTACAGTAACATTTTCCCTGCCAGACTTTGACTTGTAACAGAGTATTTGTACATGTATTTGTACTTCTACATATCTAAATACATCTTTCATAGCAGTTTAAAACACAAAGAATGAATAAAAGTCAATGCGCTGCAGTTTCCAATGACACGGCTGTCATGCAAACACGAGTCATATTGAAAAGAATCCGATAAAAGTTATAAAAGTTAGGCATTTTAATGTCTTCATGTCAGGGTTTTAGTGGTGTTGGCTCTGCAGAAGCTTCTGGATGCTGCAGAGGTCCAGCTGCCGCTCTCTGAAATACCAATCGTGTCCTTGGAATCTGCAAAGGCAGCCAAGCATTAAATTATCCACTACGACAGCTTTCATTCTGCTGATTTACAGCGTGTTGCATCTGCTGCATACAGAGTGTGTCAGGTGAACTCAGCCAGCTGCAGGATCAGAAGTACCTGCCTGATGCTGACCTGCTTCTGCTTCTGTCCGCCTGCAGAGCTCTCTTTCCGGGTGTGGATGTGCGGAGGAAGCCTGGAGATCCTCCCCTGCAGCCGCGTGGGCCACGTGTTCAGGAAGAGGCACCCGTACGACTTCCCAGAAGGCAACGCTCTCACCTACATCAAGTGAGTGGGTCCATCGGTTAGGATACCTGACTTCCTGTTTGTGTTGTGTTCGAAATATATCACTCGTTCCTGAACAGTGTCCTTCACATGCTGATATACAAGAGAGGGAGTTACACAAGTCACTGGATGCAGGAGTACCAGTTCTTCTAGGTAATCATACATCCAGTCATGTACAAAATACTGACTTTTTCTCAAAATCTCAAAATTCTGAATTTGTCTGAAAATTCTGACTTTTTCTCAAAATCTCAAAATTCTGAATTGTTCCTCAAAAACTCAGTTGGGATACCTTTGTTATCATGTGTACTCTGATATTGGAAGAGCACATTCAGTATTTTCCCAACATGTTGTTAGTACAGCGCTAAAGGGGTTCATCTGATAGTCAGTATTCAAATCTTAAGTGTCACATGATCACGCACAGGTCAAGTTAAGAGCGTCTCCGAGAAACTTTGAAATATTTCCACAAGTTTTTAATCAAACAACAGATGAGGTTACTGAATTTTGAACATATTTAAACACCCAGACATAAAAACACAACTTATTATTGGTATAAAAACTAGTCATCACAGGGTTTGTGAAAGGTTTTGAAAATGCTTGAACGGTATACCGATATTAACCTACAGTGTTTTGTTAGTATGCAATAAAATATGTGTTTCTTTAAGATCTTTTTTCTATTTTTTGTTTAATTATTAAGTTACCACAATAAATACAGAGCAGACTGGTTGGAAAGCATTTGGCAGACTCAATTAAAATGAAATGTGTCAACAATTAATCTAGGTTATTTAGAAAATTACATTTTTACTTTGTTTAATTGTTAGAGATTTTTGCATAATGGCATTTGAAAATAAAATGGCATTGTGTGGCATTCTAATTCAAAATGTCACTTTAATTATCTGTCTAAAAAAGGACAAATCAAGTTACATTATCCATGTTAAATTGTAATGGTCAAATACCAATTACAATTTGAATATAATATCATCAAGTGAGGTTGATGTTTCAAAACGAAATGTCAATTGGCTTTTTAATTCACATTGTCAGAAATGGCTAATTGCATTGATGAATTTTAATTAAGGTTTTGACTAAATTGCCAATGTGAGATGACCTTTGATTTTATTGGAGTTTGCAAATCCTTTCTCACCCGCCCGTCTGTCTTCACCTCCGCACATGCAGCTCTAAAGGAGCGTTGAATTCCTGATGGAGATGTTTGTGTGTGTCATTAAGAGAAGCCTGTAGGAATGCCATCAGCACTGTCATTACTGTGTGTGTGTGTGTGTGTGTGTGTGTGTGTGTGTGTGTGTGTGTGTGTGTGTGTATGTGTGTGTGTGTGTGTGTGTGTGTGTGTGTGTGTGTGTGTGTGTGTGTGTGTGTGTGTGTGTGTGTGTGTGTGTGTGTGTGTGTGTGTGTGTGGTGTGTGTGTGTGTGTGTGTGTGTGTGTGTGTGTGTGTGTAGGAACACGCGGCGTGCTGCAGAGGTTTGGATGGACGAGTACAAACAGTACTATTACTCTGCACGGCCGTCTGCTCAGGGAAAGGCTTTCGGCAGGTTTGTACTATTTAAATATGACCTTCCTCTCTCAGCGTTCAGTACAGAGTGCCTGTTCGCTTATTGTTCAGACACGTTCTTTGATTTTGTCTCCTTGTTCTCCTCAGATATCATGTTTTATATACATAATGTAATGTTTCACTCAGGCAGACATTAAAATACAAGTTCTAACAATGCTCATCATTACACAAAAAACCGTGTCAGAGAGATATGATTGGCTTTTTCTATAGAAACATTAATTAAATCAGATATTGTCATTTGACTTCTAGATAATGCAACTTTATTTGTATCAAAGCACAAGAGCAGAGAAGTTGAAGATAGACTCAGTGGTTGTGGAGTACGACAGAAATAATCATAAAACAGTTTGTTCTCGACCAAATTAGTTGAGTCTGTCGCTTCAGATTCATGTTATTCTTAGTATTTAATGTCACTTCCTCCCCCTGTGTTTCCTTCGTGCAGCATCGCAGACCGCCTGACGCTGCGGAGGAAGTTAAACTGCAAACCGTTCCGCTGGTACATGGAGAACGTCTATCCTGAGCTCAGGTAACTCAACCTGAACTGATTTGATTTCATGTTTTACTAAATATTTAAATATGGATATCAGATGTCTACTACTTTAATTCAAGTCCATTCGCAGTGCATGGACTGGACAAAAATGCATATATAAAGAGAAACTAAAAGTAATAATTTTTATAATAAAAAATAAATAAAAGTCTAAATAAATATTAAAACAATTCAAGACAAATAACACAATATCAAATGCTAATTATAAATGTTTTTATTTATTTTCCCTTGTATTTGATATTTCTGTACACATTTTTATATCTTTTCAAGCTATGTTTCTTTGATTATTTATGGATGAAATATCAATAAGTTTAAAAGCCACTTTTAGAAAAAACTTGGCTTTTATTTATATCATGAATGAAGTCCAAATGTCTTATTCCCACGCACTTAATAAGATATCTTGCAAATCCTTGGGGTTGTGTTGACCCCGAAAATCCGAACCAATGATCTAAATATATCTGATTTGATGGGAACATGATGGCGGTGTCAGTGGCCCAATTCCAAACCGCCCCCTACACCCTACCCCTACACACTACCCCTCCGTTCGCGCGGAGGGTCCGCCACATTAAGTGCTGTTCCAAACCAACGAGTGTGGAGCGGTGTGGAGGGGGAGTGGGCTATCAAGCCCTCAAACAGCGAGTCTGCATCGGTGCTGACTTGAGACCGGTCTCTACCTGACCGGGCTCAACGCTGTGTGTGTCCGTCAGGAAACACGCTGTTTACAAGTAGTTCCAGCAAACATCCACTGATAAATTGCGATGTTAAAAACCTCATGATAACCTCATATGTTTGTAATTTAGGATCATATACCTGTGTTTAGTCTAGAAAAAGGTAAATGTGTGCATTTTATTATAAAGTTGTGTATATTTACAGACTGTTGCAAAAACTAAGAAGCTTATAAACATCAGGTTTAAAACTAAAAGAGCTTTACAAAAAAGTAACACAATTAAAGATGTTTGGAGTTTTATTTTAGTTATTCATTTACATTTTTTGTCTAAGAGATGCTGATTTGAAACCGTTGTTACATACAGTTACGGCATTTCCTGTTTCTGCCGGAGAGAGGGGAGTTTGTCCCAAAGCTTGCCGCTGTATTTACTCCCTCCATCTGACAGGAGGGAGCCTCGAGCTGCGAGTGTCACTCCACGGAGTTCACTCCGTCACGGAGGGGTAGGGTGTAGGGGTAGGGTGTAGGGCGTGGTTTGGGATTGGGCCAGTGTCTATCCCAGCGGCTCAGACCCCTCCCCTTCCTCTGACATTTTAACAAAGTATTGGGTCATAGTTTATTTTTTAAATAAAAAACTATAAATGTGTAAAAAGATAAGGAAATAAATGTGGAAAAATAAAGACGTTAACATAAAAAATAAATGAATTCATTGCAAAAATGTGGAAATATATGAAGAAATGAATTAAATAATTAAATAGTTGATAAAGACATTTGAAATAAAAAGAGAAGTAAATTAAAGAACATATAAATGTGGAATAATAAATACAAAGAACACTATTAAAGAAATGTAGTTTTTTGTTTTTGCATATATACATTGCACTTGTTATTTATTTTAAATCTTTTTTTCATTATTCATTTACTTATTGCTCCGGTTTTTCCACTAATGTTAAAAAAATATACAGAAACAAATAGTCATGTTTGAAAATGATACGATTAAATATTGAGTTATTTGTGTGTTATATTTCTGCAAAATCAAAGCCAACTTTATTGTCAATCTTCCAGTCTGTGTGTACAGACAGAGAGATCGAAATACCGTTTCCCACAATCCAGAATACAAAAATACAAATATATATACAAATAAATAAAAATAAAAATAAGAAACTCCGTACCAAATCAATCAATAACTCCATCTGTTCTGTACTGTGGTAACCAGACCTCTGTTTGGCCCCCAGGGTCCCGGAGCAGGATGCGGTTTCCAGTGTGATGAAGCAGGGGGGTCTCTGTCTGGAGACCCGGGGGCCCGACCTCATCCTGGCAGAGTGCCGGGGCCTCGGGGTCAACAGGCCGCAGCCACAGGTCAGGACTCTGCCACCAGGGGGGGCTGTGGGGAAGATTACACCTTTAAATATACAGGAAATGTACCTGATGACGCAGGTGTCATTTTATAGATACCTTAGGGACGATGTGAAAGAGGGTCCAAAACAAAAGTGAGGATTTGAATGTGACCGTGAGCAGTGATGGCAAAAGTACACACATCCTTTACTCAAGTAGAAGTACAGATACTCATGTTTAAAAATACTCTGGTAAAAGTAGAAGTACCGACTTATTTACTCAAGTAAAAGTAAAGAAGGATGGGCTTCAAAATGTACTTAAGTAAAAAGTACCCATAACTACCAGCTGTTTTAAAGAGTACCTGACCTCCCTTTATATTAATAGAACAATAATGTCATTGTTAGCTAATGAATGTTTCCATGCTGAACAACGGCAACATGACAACGTTTTCATTGGTCCCTCTTCTTTAGAGAAGACCAGGAAATGATGGATACACGGATCGTGTTCAAATCAATAGGCACGCAATGACTCTAAATAATAATGATCACGCCACCAAACACACATTCAAACTAAAGGAACCAGCCTGTTTGGAAAATGTAAGAAGTAGAAAGTTCAGGTATTTGTGTTAAAAATGTAAGAAGTAGAAAGTACAGGTATTTGTGTTAGAAATGTAAGAAGTAGAAAGTACAGGTATTTGGGTTCAAAATGTAAGAAGTCAAAGTAAAAAGACGTCAGAAAAATAAGTAGTGGAGTAAAGTACTGATACCAGAAACATGTACTTACTGTAAGTAAGTACAGTAACGAAGTATTTGTACTCCATTACTTCCCACCTCTGACCGTGAACAAATACTTGAATGCTTCGATGTGTACGAAATGTAAAGACCATAGGCGTCATTTAAGATGTGCTCACCACTTTTGGAAATTACAAACTTGTCCCTGTCAGTTTTTAAAAGTATAATTTCTTAAAAATATAACATGTAACATCTGGAGAAGTGCTCATTCCTTCACACTTGGTTGGTGTATTTCTGGGGCCCCAAGTGTAATGTAATTGGACATGTGACACATTTTATATTAACAAACTTAGAATAGAAATTTAAAAAAGGAAACAACATTCCTGTTGGAAAAGGCACTGCATTGGGTAAAAGTAATGTGCACCCAACACTTTTCAAAACAAAGTGACACCAGTAATGAAAATACTATATATAAACTCTGTCCTTTTTAGGTAGTGAAGGTAACATAAACAGGGCTATGAGGGTTACTTAAAAGGTATGATTAATAAAGGTTGCTTTAACTTAATCCAAGTACTTAAACCCCCTTCCTTTTGATTTCTACCCCAAAAGATTTGGAAATGCTCTGATCAACATCCAGGGACTCGCAATCATTTGGCACATTTGTGTAACCAAACTCTAATCTGGAGCAGCAGCAGTTCCCAAATATATAAAATGAACTTTGATGAAAATGTCCCGGTTTGTCCTGTTTAATGTTTGCTGGAGCAGACATCTGGAGAATACTGGTTTGCAGTTGAGACTATCATTACGTTTTTGTGTGTGTTTCTCAGAGATGGGAGCTGATAGAGCCTCACATCCGACAGCAGGACCTCTGCCTCACCATCTCAGGCTTCACGGCGGGGTCGAAGGTCGTGATGGAGAGCTGCAGCTCTAAAGAGCCCCGACAGGTGAGAAGGAGACCATGATTATTTACAAGAAGGTTATAATATATAAGGAATTAGATTTGCAGTATTGGTGCATAACATAAATGTAGTAAGAGGGAATAACATTTAAAGGTCACCTATTATGCAAAATCCACTTCTTCATGTCTCTTCTACATCAACATGTGTCCCCTCTTCTTCATGTCTCTTCTACATCAACATGTGTCCCCTCTTCTTCATGTCTCTTCTACATCAACATGTGTCCCCTCTTCTTCATGTCTCTTCTACATCAACATGTGTCCCCTCTTCTTCATGTCTCTTCTTCATCAACATGTGTCCCCTCTTCTTCATGTCTCTTCTACATCAACATGTGTCCCCTCTTCTTCATGTCTCTTCTACATCAACATGTGTCCCCTCTTCTTCATGTCTCTTCTACATCAACATGTGTCCCCTCTTCTTCATGTCACTTCTACATCAACATGTGTCCCCTCTTCTTCATGTCTCTTCTACATCAACATGTGTCCCCTCTTCTTCATGTCTCTTCTACATCAACATGTGTCCCCTCTTCTTCATGTCTCTTCTACATCAACATGTGTCCCCTCTTCTTCATGTCTCTTCTACATCAACATGTGTCCCCTCTTCTTCATGTCTCTTCTACATCACCATGTGTCCCCTCTTCTTCATGTCTCTTCTACATCAACATGTGTCCCCTCTTCTTCATGTCTCTTCTACATCAACATGTGTCCCCTCTTCTTCATGTCTCTTCTACATCACCATGTGTCCCCTCTTCTTCATGTCTCTTCTACATCAACATGTGTCCCCTCTTCTTCATGTCTCTTCTACATCAACATGTGTCCCCTCTTCTTCATGTCTCTTCTACATCAACATGTGTCCCCTCTTCTTCATGTCTCTTCTTCATCAACATGTGTCCCCTCTGTGTAAAGAGACTCTGAAAGTTTGAGGAACAAAGATTCTCTCTCTTTTTGTCCTGATCCATTTTTATAAAAACCTGTCTCAAAATGAGCTGATCAGAGTTTGGCCACTTTATGATGTCATAACGATGTTTTGTCTTGTGTAACCATTAGCCAATCACCAACCAAGGTAACCCCCCCCCCCCCCCACCTTATCACCTGAATCTCCTCCTAGAGCACCATTGAGTTCTTTGTAACCAAATATCTCTCAGAGGGGCGTGGGGAGGGGCTCCTTATTTTCATCTAAAGTAACAGACAGAGAATCAGCACTTTTGAAACAGGGCTGAAACAGAGGGGATTATGGGATGCTGCAATGATCTGTTTGGTGTTTCAGCCAATCAGAGACAGGCTCTGTATATATCTGAGACCTGTGATATACTGATGAAAAACAGTATAATAGGGGACCTTTAAAAATAAAAGCACGTATTACTAAAAATTACATAAACATAAATAAACATTTCAATAAAAAAAGATAAAATACTATAAAAAATGTACAAAATATCTGAAAAATGAAAGAGCTATGCAGTTTTGAGTAATAGTCTCTTGAAGGGATGTGCAACAATGTCCATAAAACATGCCGTGTAACGCAGCCAAAGGGTTAAGAAAGAAAGGAGGAATTTGCTTTAATCTCCACTATCAGTCACTTCAGCCGGAGGTCCCACATTTTCCACATTTCAGTCTGGAATAAAGGGCTTTATTTATCCTTGATGTGCCACTCAGCAGCTGAACTCAGACATGAAGGATCTGCAGATTAAAGTGGAGCCGGCACACATGCAGAGAGCTGACCGAGATGGAGTAAAGCACCACGTTCACGTCTGTGCTCTAAATCTCACTTTGGTCAAAGTACAGAAGGATTATCAGCACAGTGTGCTTGAAGTATCAAAAGTACAAGTAGTCATTCTGCAGAATTCGCCTACATATATGAAATATTATGATATATGGCATTATTAGATTGTTCATAATGTTGCATCAAGTAGCATTTAACAAATTACTCATAGTTCGGTCGTACCTTTTTTTAATATCTTTGATTATTTTACCTTTTTGTTCCTCAACAGTTTTTCCACTAGTTTCATCTTTTAGATATGCATTATTTTTTAAAGTTTAGCAGATGATTTTTAATACAATCTGAATTGTAAATGTAGCCACTAGCCAGGTATCTTGTGGATTTCATGAAGGGATCATCAAACAAGTTGATTTAATGAAATGGAAAAACTGAAGTAAAGTAGAAACACTACTGATGCATTTGAGTTGTTTTTAGTAAAACAAGCGCTCCCATGACTTCAGACTTCAGACCTCTCTCTAGCTCTCCTCTTTGTGAATCACTCGTCCCATGTGGACGCCTTTTGGCTGCGCACTTGATTAATGACACTGCAGAGGGAGTTAATAACTGGAAACATGTGTGTGTGGGTGTGTGTGTGTGAGAGAGAAGGTGTGTGTGTGCAGTCCTCATCTCTCTGCAGGACTCCCATTTATTTTCTTGCAGCCTTCCCATCAGCAGAGACTTGTCTTACTGAGGGAGACATTTGGCCTGAGTGTTTAATCCCGTAGAGAAAAACTATTTTCAAATCTTTGTTTCCCTCTGGAACCACTTTAAGACCTTTACGTATGGTATCCCTTTACATTTTCCTGAAAATTATACTTGTTTAACATCCTCATCACAACATCACATTCTCCAGAGAGTGTGATTAAATACTTGGAAATTATTTGGCGTAAATTAGATTTATAAAACTTCACAAGTATATTGGCCTCTGTATGTGCCTTCAAAAAACTGTTAAACCTTATTTAAACTTAAACATCTCTAAGCGGTTGACCAATCACAACAGAGCCGGCCAGCTAACCAATCAGAGCAGACTGGGCTCTGGTTTCAGACAGAGGGTGAAAAGAGGAGCTGCAGCACAGGCAGTATGAGAAGAATAAAGAGCTTTTTGAACATTAAAGAATGGAGACATGTCCCAGTAGAGACACTACATACTGATATACACCTGAACATCAGCAGGAGAGGACTCTTTAAAGTAGAGACACTACATACTGATATACACCTGAACATCAGCAGGAGAGGACTCTTTAAAGTAGAGACACTACATACTGATATACACCTGAACATCAGCAGGAGAGGACTCTTTAAAGTAGAGACACTACATACTGATATACACCTGAACATCAGCAGGAGAGGAACTCTTTAAAGTAGAGACACTACATACTGATATACACCTGAACAACAGCAGGAGAGGACTCTTTAAAGTAGAGACACTACATACTGATATACCCTGAACATCAGCAGGAGGACTCTTTAAGTAGAGGCACTACATACTGATATACACCTGAACATCAGCAGGAGAGGACTCTTAAAGTAGAGGCACTACATACTGATATACACCTGAACATCAGCAGGAGAGGACTCTTTAAAGTAGAGACACTACATACTGATATACACCTGAACATCAGCAGGAGAGGACTCTTTAAAGTAGAGACACTACATACTGATATACACCTGAACATCAGCAGGAGAGGACTCTTTAAAGTAGAGACACTACATACTGATATACACCGGAACATCAGCAGGAGAGGACTCTTTAAAGTAGAGACACTACATACTGATATACACCTGAACATCAGCAGGAGAGGACTCTTTAAAGTAGAGACACCACATACTGATATACACCTGAACATCAGCAGGAGAGGACTCTTTAAAGTAGAGACACTACATACTGATATACACCTGAACATCAGCAGGAGAGGACTCTTTAAAGTAGAGACACTACATACTGATATACACCTGAACATCAGCAGGAGAGGACTCTTTAAAGTAGAGACACTACATACTGATATACACCTGAACATCAGCAGGAGAGGACTCTTTAAAGTAGAGACACTACATACTGATATACACCTGAACATCAGCAGGAGAGGACTCTTTAAAGTAGAGACACTACATACTGATATACACCTGAACATCAGCAGGAGAGGACTCTTTAAAGTAGAGACACTACATACTGATATACACCTGAACATCAGCAGGAGAGGACTCTTTAAAGTAGAGACACTACATACTGATATACGCCTGAACATGAACATTTTATGTCATATCTCAATCTTCGAAGAAACTTAAGTCATCACGTAAATGTAGTGGAAGTACATTATTTCCCTCTAAAATCTTGTGGATAAGAAGAATAAAGTAGCATAAAATGTAAATACTCAAGTAGAGTACTACAACATTATACTTAGCTACTGTCCAACACTGCATGACAATAGTAGATGGAAAAAGCTTTAATTTGTGTTTTCTCGTCTACCGATTTTCCTCAAATTTGAGTTAAATTGGACCTACTTTTAGATCAAAACCCACCTTTTCTTCTACTTAAACTTTAACATGTTTACTCTGAGAGTTTCATGTCTTCCTCCCCACATGTATCAGAGCATGTTTGCAGTATCTAACCCTCAGCAGGACTCTCTCTCTCCTCGTGGATTTCAGATTAACCTCCCGTTCACCTCTGACCTCTGATAAGCTCCTCGTGGCTCCAGAGATCTGAACTCAGCTCTCTCTCTCTCTCTCTCTCTCTCTCTCTCTCTCTCTCTCTCTCTCTCTGCTGTTGCTTCAAATGTAACCTTCTAGTCAGCAAGCTAATAAAACCTCACTTTATACCTGGTGATTTACTACCAGCTGTTCATGGGGAGCACATGTTGTCTCTTTCTTTACTTCAGCATCAGGTTTCTGTTGAACTCAAGCAGTGACAAGACACGAGGGAGACTCATAAAAAATCCTAAAGGCTATTTAAGGTAAAGAAGTCAGGAGAGCGGGAATATTCAGATAAAATACCGGATATTTTAAAGATATCGTTGCTAATGTATGAGAGAAAAACCTAGTCTCTGGTATTGAAGCACATTTACAAGAAAAACTCAGAAATTTACAAGATTAAAACTTTAATATTCCATGAGTTATAGTCATACATTTGCAAGGAAACCTTTCAAATGTAAGCGACAAATTTAAAAGAAAATACTTTGATATTTGTTGAAATTTTAAGAAGTACATTTAGGAGAAAAACTGTAGTTTACAAGATTAAAACAAAACCATTTTTTGAGATTATGGTCATATATTTGCACAAACTAAATAAGTAATTCCCTGATATGTAAGTGGTAATGTTAAAGTGAAAGAAAACACAAAATTATAGAAAAAAACACGGATATTCTTTCAGATCTGAGTAGTGAATGCCACAAGAAAATGTTTACAAATGTACGATCGCAGACTCACACACTCTGAGATTTAAGTCACAAATGATGGAGAAATAAATATGAAATTCGTTCATTTACTGAGAAGAATTTACCAATTTAAAATTAAAAGAATTGCGTATAATCTAAGATTTAAATCACACATTTACTGAGAATACATTTCTAAATAAACAAGAAAAACTCAAATATGTATAATATTAAAACTAAGGAATTATCTTAGAGTGTGATCACACATTTGCAAGAAGAAACTCAGAAATGATTGTGGAATAAAACTTGGAACTTCTGTAGGATTAAAATGGTGAATGTTTATTCTTATTCTATTTTTGTTTTACTCAGTCCTGTTAAAGGTAGGGGCAGGTAATTCACTTCAGAAACACTTTTTATTATATTCCATGGAATGCTCTTAACATCCCCATAGCAATGAATATATTAAATGCTTTGACAATAAATATATTCAAATAATTCATCTGTGGAAGCCGTGGCGCTGTAAAAAGCACGACCAATCATCTGAGCCGGCCCGGCTAAAATAACTGGATGGCCTACCTGCCTGTCAGCCTTCCATCTGTGCACAAACTTATCTCGTGCCCTCATTGGTCATGTGCACGTTCGTGTGTGTTGGAGGAGGGGCTCTGTAAGGAAGTCTGAAGGAAGGGGCAGATTTTTTGCGGTTGTGTATTTTCAAATTCTAGTGCACTCGAGCTGGTTTCTCCATTCTTACCTACCCTACCTTTAATGACCTTTGTTGGTATTCAGTGTTTTAATCAAGAAGTCATGTGTCATTATTACCTTTATGTTTTTAATATTATTATTATTTTTGCTGTTTTGTTGTTTTGTTGTTTTCGGGTTAGTGAAACACTTTGTTGGATTTTCTGAATGCATAAAAAAAAGTTAGATTTGATAACTATTGAATGCAGTCGTTCATTTCTGTTTTTGTTGTCTTTTTTCCTGCAGAAGTGGAAGCCCAAAGGCACGGCTCTGCAGCACATGGTGGGGGGGCTCTGCTTGGACAGCCAGGCCCCCGCCGGCCCCCCCATCATCACCCAGTGTCGCCCCCAGCTGGCCAGTCAGACCTGGGAGCCTCAGATTATCTCCTGAGAGGGGGGAGAGGGGAGAGGGGAGAAACGGGAGGATTCTGGAGCAGGAGGACTCACATCTGCAGCTCTTCGGGATCAAAGGAGGAAATCTGAACTCTGTGATCTGAATCCTGCGTATCGGAGCGTAAAGACATTTTAAAGACCTTCCCGGGGTCTTTTTGTGTACCATCCTTCGAGGATTTCTTCTTCTACGTAATCTTAAACTCTTCACGGTTGCACATCTCACTTTCTTTTTCAGTTCTGTATCTATCCTGGTCAGCAGTTTGCTTACGAGTAGTGAGGGTCTCCACACACACTGATGTAGCAGAAGTGTGTGTGGAGGTGGAGTCGCTGCTCTCTCTGTGGCAGCGTTACGTTTAGCCAAATCTCTACACTGACTACAGATCTCTTTTTGTTTCTTTAAAGCACCATGCAGAGCACCGTCAGGAAACATTATTTATAGTTTTGCATGGTCAGACCCAAAGAATGTTGTTTTTCTTTCCTGTCAAAGTTTCATGTAAATATTTGGAGCTCGGTTTTGGTGTCAGTACTCTATATGTTGTTTGAAAAATAAAATGGTGGTAACAAAGGAAGTATTGATCTGGTTCTTCACCAAATACATTTGAATTGTTTTGCTGTTTGGTGTACAATGTTGGGGATTATACATTGGGTATAACCCCTGGAGATGTACCATGCAATAAACCAATATAAGCACCATAGAAACGTATTTCATCCAACACAATATACCAAACAAACCGATATACACCTGCACATCAGCAGGAGAGGACTCTTTAAAGTAGAGACACTACATTCTGATATACACCTGAACATCAGCAGGAGAGGACTCTTTAAAGTAGAGACACTACATACTGATATACACCTGAACATCAGCAGGAGAGGACTCTTTAAAGTAGAGACACTACATACTGATATACACCTGAACATCAGCAGGAGAGGACTCTTTAAAGTAGAGACACTACATACTGATATACACCTGAACATCAGCAGGAGAGGACTCTTTAAAGTAGAGACTACATACTGATATACACCTGAACATCAGCAGGAGAGGACTCTTTAAAGTAGAAACACTACATACTGATATACACCTGAACATTAGCAGAAGAGGACTCTTTAAAGTAGAGACACTACATTATGATATACACCTGAACATCAGCAGGAGAGGACTCTTTAAAGTAGAGACACTACATTCTGATATACACCTGAACATCAGCAGGAGAGGACTCTTTAAAGTAGAGACACTACATACTGATATACACCTGAACATCAGCAGGAGAGGACTCTTTAAAGTAGAGACACTACATACTGATATACACCTGAACATCAGCAAGAAAGGACTCTTTAAGTAGAGACACTACATATTGATATACACCTGAACATCAGCAGGAGAGGACTCTTTAAAGTAGAGGGACTACATTCTGATATACACCTGAACATCAGCAGGAGAGGACTCTTTAAAGTAGAGACACTACATACTGATATACACCTGAACATCAGCAGGAGAGGACTCTTTAAAGTAGAGACACTACATACTGATATACACCTGAACATCAGCAGGAGAGGACTCTTTAAAGTAGAGACACTACATACTGATATACACCTGAACATCAGCAAGAAAGGACTCTTTAAGTAGAGACACTACATATTGATATACACCTGAACATCAGCAGGAGAGGACTCTTTAAAGTAGAGGGACTACATTCTGATATACACCTGAACATCAGCAGGAGAGGACTCTTTAAAGTAGAGACACTACATACTGATATACACCTGAACATCAGCAGGAGAGGACTCTTTAAAGTAGAGACACTACATACTGATATACACCTGAACATCAGCAGGAGAGGACTCTTTAAAGTAGAGACACTACATACTGATATACACCTGAACATCAGCAGGAGAGGACTCTTTAAAGTAGAGACACTACATACTGATATACACCTGAACATCAGCAGGAGAGGACTCTTTAAAGTAGAGACACTACGTACTGATATACACCTGAACATCAGCAGGAGAGGACTCTTTAAAGTAGAGACACTATACTGATATACACCTGAACATCAGCAGGAGAGGACTCTTTAAGGTATATCATCCAACAAAATATATCAAACATGTAATAATGCACATTTTGAATATGTTACCTGTGCAATGATCATTTTACATTTTAGATATTGGAATAAAGACAAATATATAAAAAAATTACTTTTAATATAATTATAAAAAATAAAAAGATAAATACTATATTATTTAAATCGTTAAATAATAAATATTAATAAAGGATAAAATATATTGCCATATTCCTTTCCCTATAAAGTTATATATACAAAAAGACACAATAAAAACACTCTTTATACTTTATAGAAACAAATAATGAATAAATGAATAAAATTAAATCAATAATGATACATTTAATATTTAGTAAATGTAATATTAATATAATGTAGCCTATAATCTGAGTAAACACTCCAAATCGATCATAACATATATTCAGTATTACAATACTAACACGTCACTACTAAGTATAAGCATGAAAACACATTACATTTACGCATTAATGCTTTAATAATAGTCTGGTTAAATAATATGATAATATATGTGAATGTGTGTGTTTTTGCATATTGAGTACATAATACTAATACTTTAGTTTTTATGTTACATTTTAATTTGAATGCAGGACTTGTCATCAGTATTGCACCAGATGTGTGGCTGAGTTTACACACAGTGACCACAAGGGGGCAGACTATCCTCACAGATCAACAAGAGGCTCTGTTTTATCACTCTGACCTTCAAGGCTGGTTGTAACAAAGAAAATTGGAGTTAAGATTACATTACATGTCACTTGTTAGACGCTTTTATCCAAAGCGACTTACATACTCAACACTGTGGACAATCCCCACAGGAGCAATTTGGGGTGAAGTGTCTTACCCAGGGACACAACGACATGCTGACTGCAGTGGGACTCGAACTTGCTATCCTCTGATTCGAAGATCAACGCACTACCCCACTGAGCCACAGTCTCAGATAATTATGAAATGAAGGGGGAGTGGTAGTAAAGGGAAGGTAGAAACAGTGTGCAGCTGTAAATAAATATAAATATTCAGACACACGTTAAAATGACAATCATCAGAATAACAGGCTCGACAACTTAGTGTTTTCTTTGTTGGTTTTGTAACCTTCCAGGCCGCAAAACTGCAGCTTAGCAGGCTGCAGAGCTATGTGAGGAATGCACCTTAATGCTGATAAACTTCTGAAGAGGTTTCATCATCAGGCGGAGGGAGAGGGGGAGGGGGAGGGGGAAACATGGCAGAAACCGGAGAAATTAAGGGTAATTTAAAGATGTTGGAGTTAGTTTGCTTGCTTACCATGTCTTTGTTCAGACTACAGGAAGGAACACCGTTGTTTATTTGAGTAACTTTGATTATTTGTCTGCAGATTTCTCCAAATTCACCAAAAGTCAAAAATCACATCATGCCTCATTTCAGAAACCTTGAAACACACAAAAATATTGTCTTAATTTAGGTAGTCAACTTGGGAAATTTCATGGTGATATCTATGAGTCACATGTTTTATATTCATCTGTTGTGTACACAGCACAGTGAGTGTCAGTCAGTATCACATGTCCACACATAAAGAGATGAAAAAGATAACGTTAAATAAACAGGAAGTGCATTTAAAACTGTGGTGTAATTATTCAAATGGTCTATCAAATGTTTTAGGAGCTCCTTCACTGACTGGAGTGTATTTACATATCAACCAAATAGATAATATAATGAGGAACATGTCAGGTGACACATGTAAATAAAATATACTCACAAACTGAACATGACATTATACTTCACTTCAGAGGGAAATGTGTTTTTTATACGCCTAATTTAATAGTTTTAGTTGTTTTTAAAGGTACAAAAGTAATATGCTTTTTACAGTACAAATGGGGTGCATGTCTCAGCACAGGTAGCATACTTTACCTTTGATACATCAACCGCATACAGTATAGGTGAATAATACTTAATAAAATGTTGAATGCATGACTTATAACTGAGTACTTTACGTTCTGCTATTTTATCTATTACTTATCTATTATCCAGATCCAGTGGTGGGATGTTTCAAGTATTAACTAGTACTGTAAATAAGTAAAACGTATTTAAATTACATTTCATTAAGTCGAAAAAAAAAGTGTCATTATTATTGTAGGTGTTTTTTTTTTTTTCTAGGTGTTTGTTTTTTAACATACTCAGTCAATATGAAGATCCATAGTCAATATATTGGGATTTAATAAAAACATTGAGAACATGTATTATTCTTTTTAAACTAGGATTCATGATTTTGATATCTTTATTTATTTTAACAAATTCAGTCAAAATTCGAAGTGCTAAGTCTCAACATTTTTATTAAAATAAGATATTTTCCTCCAAAAAAATGTGCTTTCATAATCAAGTGTAATGTCTTAAAACACGCTCAAATAAACCCCTGTTTTAATAAAATGTATTACTAATTTTCATCATTTAAAATCAGCATGTTACAGGTTGCTGCTCTGCCCTCCATCGAACACTTCCGCTCGGTACACTTCCAGCCAATCAGCTCTCTCGGAGGCGGTCCGTTGCTAAGGAGGAGGTTTGGTTGCGGCTCCTCGCGCAGCAGCCATTCAGCGGCGGCTGCTGAAGAGACCGGACTGTGAGCGTCTCTACCGACTCTTTCTGAGGAATTAAAACCATTACACACTGCTCTGGTTCTCCGGTACAAAGGTGACGACATTACCGGGGCGTCTTCTGGGTCTGGAGGTGGTCACAGGTAAGAAAAGAGCGTTATCTTAATAGCCTTCACTGGTAACGGTTGTTAGCTTGTGAGCTAAAGCTAGCCTGTGTGTCTCTCTCTAGTTAGCCCAACGGCTCGTAGCTTCCCTCACAATTACATGGCTTGTATCTTGCTTTATTAGTTAAAAAGAAAACACAATAGGCTACATGTAAGCTGTGAGGGTGGTTAGTATCTTCCATGTGTGTTGGAAAAAGGTCTGCCCCTGCACTACAAAGTGAGCTAAAGGGTTATTTAGCTAGCTAATTAAGAACAGTGTTGTAAAAGTAGATTTACTTTAAATTGTAATGTCTTTTTGAGGTACTTGTACTTTACTTGAGTATTTTCAGTGTATGCTACTTTGTCCTTCTACTTCACTACAGTTCAGAGGTAAATCGTGTACTTTTACTCCACTACATTTTTTTGTAACTAAGTAGATTTACTTTAAATTGTAATGTATTTTTGTTGTGGTTGTATTTATCTGACAGTTGACAGATAGTTTCAGAAAAGGATAACTCATTTAAAAATGATAAAACAAAGTGTTACTTGAGCTTGAGGTTCATTTGTCTGCTGAGTGAAGTTAGCTAACGATACCCAACATACCTGGTTAACTTTAAGAGATGGAGGTTAGCAGAGGTGGGGGAAGTACGCAGATAATGTACTGGTAAAAGTAGAAAATACCAAAGTGAAGAAATACTTATGATGAGGAATGTGTCACTGGCTTATACTGAACACTTAATTTCTCGACTGCTGGATTCATTTTTGTATATCCTTTTTTTATCAGGTC